TTTTCCTCCTGGCTATTTGCCAGAAGCTTGATTTAAGCATTTTAAGAATAGCCAAACAAAATGTGAGTTTTAAACAGCCTGACTGAAAATCCTTTTTCTTTCTGAAATGACAGTTTCTTGTGACAGGCAATGGTTAGAGATGGTGGCTTCACTTCTCTGTTCTTCCAGCTACCCATAATCTTCCAGCAAAAATAGGATAGACAAGACCCGATATATAGACAAAATTAAACAAAACTTTTGCAGAAACCTTACATCTGACTTTAAAACCAAAGCAAGATCTTCAGGCTTTCTTAATATGTCTTAAAAATCTGTAAAAGGCAACATAGCTTTGTCTCCTTTTTGGGTCACTCTTTAGAGATTTGGGATTTCACTATGGAGAGATAGGCAGATCCCATTGACAAGAACATGCCATATGAAAAACACAGTATGTGTCTAAATTTATAATTTAGTAATGCTGACATTCTGGCCTTACTAGATATTAATAAAATCACAGCAGTGTGGGTGAAGGTATTATACCTGGTCATGGCTGGCTTCAATGGAGCTTCCGATACCTTGGAAAGTCATCTGCACAGGAGACAGTGTCAAACAGGTCATACACTCTTTGCCATTTTGTCTATCACTGTAGTGTACCTATAACAGAATAACATACGTAATCTGCTAAACACCAGGTTTGTACAAGGGAATCATGCTAAAATACTGTCCCTTTTCAACAAGTTTGTAAGAAGAATTCCAAACATTTACATTGAATTCATCTTTAATATAAAACAAGGAGTGTGTAAAATATTCTAGATAGCCATATACTATACTGGGGCCAAATTTTCTGTGAGTTGTCTGTTGGATAATTTTTGTGCTATGTTCTCCAGTTCCTAGGACCCTTTAGACTGAATGCAAGATGTTATATCTACACAATTACAAGAACCTAGTTTCAAGTTATAGTTTCTAACCTAGATGTCAAAAAGTTTTAACAGTATTTTGTAGCTTAGATATAAAACATTCATGTAAGTCATTATACCTCCAAAAACCTGGCAATAACAGTTTTAAGTTTTTAGTTGAAATGCCATTTCTACTAAAATTCACTAACTTTCTTGACATGGCTAAACAAGGTTGTATATTTTAATTTGATTTTGTAATTAAATCAAAATGACAGATAGTGTGGTGAAGAATTCACTTTCTTCCTGAATTATCTACGCTATCTTTTTCTAAGAGTAACTCATTCTTTACTAATGTCAAGGTGTGCATGTTAAACCTGACTCTTGCATGAAATACAGAGGAAGATATTGCTTCTACTTGAATTATTTTCCTTGTCTTCAGGCCCCCTTCAGATAGTTCTTAAATCCCCTAGAGAAAGTATGGATTTTACTATGTTGAGACAAAAATTAAGTTAAATGTTGCCAGTGTTTCATTATTAAGAACAGGTTGCCACTCATGCTGAATTGTTGAAATATTACAATCTGCTATGTAGCTCCTGGCTTCTAGACAGGCAGATCAAGCACTTCATTCTACAGGAGAGGTGGAATTTGGTTTATGGTGGTAATTTACATTGGCTATGTGACCCCTGTCAGAAATGGAAAGAGAGATCAACTCTGCCGGAGACAGACCTTTTATGTTAGTATCTATTTACAGCTGTATAGATCTCAGGCAAAGGTTATATGATAAAGCCTCATCTTTATACTTAGGCTATAAAATTAAGTATTATTATTTCTGAAGACAACTAGGAACCATATTAGAGTTGTTCCTGTGGAACTGTTTAGCAACATATATGACACTTAATTGTATACTGTGTGTACTATATGGACTGTGCCTAAATCTTTTCTGCCACAGGTGTAAATTGGGAATACTTCAGGTGAAGCAAAACCACTGCAAGGCTGGTTAAGCAAGAGGAAAACCAAGTCACTGCTATATTGCAGAATTAATTTACTGACAACACATAATAAACAGTTTAGCTGTGGCCAAAAGTAAAATACAGAATGCAAAATGCATGTAGTGCATATAGAAATATTGATTTCACTGAGTCCTTGTTAAAGCTTTCTGGATTATCCCTGTCCCTCCTCCTCTCTCAACCCCCACAATATGTGCCTACTAAATTGCCTGTGGCTTTCTGCCAGAAAAGCCATACTACTCACTTAGAAACCACAAGGGGCCCCTTCACATATACAATGGTTTAACTTTGATTAATCGAAAGAGGTATGAAGGTATGAAATTTGGCTTGCAAATATAAACTGAAGTTCTTTGAATGTCAAGGACTACTGTTATGACAAGAACTTATCAAGACTCCACAAGTGCAGTATCTAGTTGCAAGCTAGATATTCTGCTGAGTATGTGTTGTGGGAATGTGATGTGGAGAAATGGGGCAGAAAAACTCACAAGGATGGTTCTGTCCCGCAAATGCGATGTTAGCAAAAGGGGCAAAATCTGGTGACCTAGAAAAGTGCATGCTGTAGAGTGCATATGGAGAAATGGGAAAATGGAACTTTCTGAACTGCACAGCATGTGGGAGGCTTACTTTTAATAAGAATAATATGAATAAAGTTACAGTTCACTAATGTTCACTGGAACAAAGCACAGTTAACAAGCTGAAAGAACAAGAGATATTCAGAGGAAATATTTCAACTACCATATAACATTATCATCTGCAAAAGCAGATTTGATCCACAACCTCTTTTGAGTCCCATGTTAAAACTTCAATAAATCCAAAATTTTGGTATCTTTCTAGGCTTAACTTTCCTGAAATAATTTCTTGATGTATTTTTGGCCTCATCTTAATGGATCAAGTCCATTACTTCATAATTTCTTAGACAATAAACCCCTAATTATCTCTTGTTCTGCTGAAGCCCTTCAGTTTAAACAAAATAAATACTTCCCATGTTAATTATATGAAACAGTGATATGCATACAAAATACTGAACTTTGAATGGGGGACAAAATAAAATTTTGTCCTTTCTTGATATCTCACTAGTATACGGATTTATACAGTCAACAAAACACTCAGATTTCCTCTACATTTTGTCATGTTAATGAATAATTTCCTAGTTTGGGGAAGTTTTCTGTCTTGTTATTTATCAGTCCAGCCACTACATTCTTAAATCCTTTGTTTTGTTTCTCTCTCTCTTTTTTTTTTTTTTTTCTTAAAATTTGATCTATCATTTAAAGTTTGAAGGTGGTTTTTTGTTTGTTTTTTGTTTGTTTGTTTGTTTTAAGTAAGTGTGTGTGGGTATTTATTTTTTGACCAGAACTCTGAAAGAGATGGTAGTAGTGCAACAGTTATCAAATTGTCTGAATAGTAGCAGATGCTTCTAGGTTTTCAGCCAGCACTATGTTGTAAATGTTTCAGCTTCCATGTCTGTGCTATTACAACTAAGCATGGGAGGAACCTGAACATCTATAAAACTGCTTTAAGAATATCATTATCATCTGAGGCAGGGAAACACAAAGGCATAGCAAATACTTCCTTCAGTATCCACAATCAAGGAGAGGCAACTGAAGGCTGGCCAAGTGCTCCCAGCATGCTTACACGGACGTTACTAAGATTAACAACCACAGTAGTACTTCTCTTATTTAAGTTACTAAGTGCCTGCAGTTTAAGAGTCATGAGTGCTCAGCTCCAGCTATCCCTCACAGCCCCTCTGCCAGGCAGGTAAGGACGGCGGTGGACGGGCTCCTCCAAGCTCACCCGGCGCTGGCAGCACAGGGCCTACAGCCCAGCAAGAAGGACCTAATCGTGAGCACTCATTTTCCCTTTCCATATATTATGTAGGCACAAATAAAAGAGTTACAAGAGTAATTACCATCTACATCTGAATTTTCAGGCTTCAATTTTTTGTATTTAAGGGACTTTCATAAATTAGCTAAGTGCATTTTAAGGATTAAACAGCAATGAAATTTCACTCATTAAAGTTCAGAATGTTTTATTTGGATAACATATAAGCAGAGATTTTTTTATTATTATTTTTTTTAATAGAACAGCATTACAATTTGGTTAGAAAATAATGGCCAACATATTGATGTCTGCAGTAAGGGTTGTGCAAGTTTCTGAGTAAAATTCAAGAATCCAGCCTCAGCCTGTTATGAGGGATTTACATGCAGTTCTGTTCAGAGGTATGTCTACACAGTACCAAGCACTGCCACAACAAGATCCTGGCAATAACTCTAAAAGAGCCTGCCCATTTACTGGGAAAAGCATACGGCACTGCTCGCTTTTCTCCTGGGTAACTGCACACCGCTAGTATCTGAGATAAATCATGTATAACCCGCTCAGGAACCCCTAACACAGCACTCCATTGTTCTGTGGAGACAAGGCACAAAACCGCTGCGTATAAAACGCAAAGTGCATCCCAGGCATCGAAACAATGAAATAAATCTTAGGTGACTTGTTTTTCCACAAGCACATGCTGTGGACTTACTCATACATGCATGTTTTTATGTTCGATATTCTCAGGAGATGCAACTGTATATCCTTTAAAGAGATTACTTCAGTCAGGAACGAGCTGTATGGCATGAGTATGTATGCAGGGGTACTACTAACTGCTGTATGCATATAGAAATGTATGTGAAGATCTGAAGACATTTTACAACTATGTTGAAATTTGGCCCTTGTTTTTAATATTTTAAATTACTGTAGAGATGGAAATATTTTAAAGTACATTTATAGCTTTGCATAAAGAAAGATATAAAATGAATGTTTACAATGTCACAACTGAATGTGGAATGGCATAGCCAAAATTCTCAACCGCATATATTATTTTATAAAAGAAAACTAAATTGTACTGTATAAAACTACTGTAAGTATTAGTTAAGGCTACTTCTATCATAACACTGCTCCCAAAGTAGGAAATTTCCCATTTCTTTTGTACTTATATAAATCCATGTCTCTCAAATCTAGCTTTACTTTGTTATCATTCATTATGTGTAAGTGTTCTGATAGAAACTGCAAAAAAAATTGCAGGATTTGTCTTGCAACAAGCTAGTTTGTAACACTAGATCAATATGCAATTTTAGATAATGCCCAGAGTTAATCTGCATAAATTATTCTGTAGATACATTTACTCTCCTGGTCTAAGTGGACACTTCTGAATTTGAGCATCCATCCTTTTGCATAAACAAGGACTTTTTTTTTCTGCCTCACAACCAAGGAAGGTGAGAGACTGGCTACAGTACCACATGATAGTTAAGCTCAACTGCAATGTACTACATTACTGTTAGAAATGAGCTAACTGTGCATTAACAGGAGACTGAAGGGAGACAAAATAAAGGCTACTATTTTCACACACTGCTGCTTAGATGTTCACAGTTTGAAACGCAACTTCTGTCTGGCCAAACACTTTCTTTCTTGAACATTTATTAACTTAAAAAAAAATAATATGAATTACCAAAAGAAAGAAGTCATCTGTGACACTGGAGTTCATGTTTCCAAACCAAAAACTACTCCGAGTCAAAGCATCAGCAGGAGTCTTAGAATGCTAGACAGAAATAAACTAGGTAATAAAATGCCATTATGTTCAGCAACGCACAAATCTTCTGGATTGACAAGCTGGGACTATTTTGTTAGAACAAAGGATGGTATTCCTTTAAATCTGCCCCTTAAAGCACTAAATTTACTCCTGACTTTACAGAAAATTTTCAAAGATTTTACACAGGTTGCTCGGGATTTACAGCTACGAACAAACTATATGAACTATAAAATCAGATGCTAAAATAGTAATCCTGACTTGGACAGCAGCCTTGTGGAAAATTTTTGTTCCTTTAGCTTCCTGGTGGAACACTTATCTTTGCCATATTGATCTTACTTTAGCTTACTTTCTCTGTTACTCATCTACTGGTAGTCATATGACCTCATATAAAAAATTTAAACAATCCTGTTTGTGGTCAAACTATTTCATGCATATTTATCAGTGAAGAAATACTCTTGGTGATAAAATAATTTAAATATACTTGTTATTTTCAAACCATTCTTTCAAAGTCAGTTCAGAAGCTTACACAGTACAGTATTCTAGTACTTAAACGTGTGAATCCTTGTATTATCTGCAGAGCTTTCCTAACAAACAACAGGTTATTCTCTTCACAAAATAATATATTAGTCTCTTCAGACACAGAGTACCATGACAGAGATTCAGAATATCACATTGCTTTCTTACTATCTGCTTTACAATCCCATATATTTTATTTGTAAGAGCAGAACAGAAGAGGAATACAGAAACAACAAAATAAAATTAGGGGAAAATCCCATTGCATGAACAAAGACTTTTAGGAAATGTTGAAGCATAGATATATAGATATATATAAAAGGAAAAACAAAACAAAACAAAACAAAACAAAACAAAAGGTAGAGATGAAAAAAAAGTCCCAGATGAAAAAAAAAATCAGACATAAAATAAAATAAAAATTTAAAAAAAATCAGAAAAAAGCATTGAATCAAACTGTTTCCTGCAATGCTGGAGTTCCTTGATGTAGTGCGACTACTAAATATAGTATTTTACTAATCTCAGCGGGGAGCTGGCTAACTGCATGCCCGTCAGATGTTTTTAATGGTCACCCCCTGTGGAACAAATCTAAGGAGCGCATGAAAAACACCCACATTTAAGAAAGACCCCTTGCTAGATCATTAAGGAAAGATAAAGGCCTGTACATTCATATGTGATATATAACACAATCATTGTGTCAAGAAAACATATGTTTGATTAGCGCGCCTCAGGTTCATCAATCGCTGTGTCTGCTTCACAGCAGTGGGCCAGGTCTCCATTGTGGCTACTGCAAGGAAGGGGGAAGACACGCAGTAGCTTAAAGACTGACAGCCCAGCAGTAAATCTTGAGAGATTCAAGCATGCTCTTCGCCTACAGAGCTCGAATACCAGCTGTACCATAGTCTTAAATCTTCCCTAAAATACAATCCGAGGTTTTAGACTAAGAAGTAAACCATTACTGTACCATAAATAGATAACAGTAAGCAGACAAAAGACTGTCACAGTTCACTGCAGTCGTATTTTACATTCCTGACTGTAATAAGGCAGACACTTGCCATCTATAAAAGCACGTGAAGTACAAATAAGACTGAAAAACTTGATACAGTTCCCAAAGAGAATATATAAAATAACTGTTAAATGCAAAATCAGTTTATCTGAGCCAAAAAAGCTTGTACATAATTTATTTTATGTTATTTATATATATTCAAAGCTCCTGTTTTCAGTGGCGCAGGGGATCTGGAAAGCTTGGCTGTATATCATGCTCAGTCAGGCAAGGGAGACCCAGCTCTGTCCTACCTCTGGATGTGATGTTTGGTTCTAATTAAAAGAAAATTGGCCAACAGCACGGCTGTTGCAGCAGCATGTGAGATAACCAGTACAGTAAGGTACTTACTCTTTACCTTTTCCCAGTTAAACCTTAACCCAGGTATGCACTTGTATTTGTAAGGCCAGTGTTCCTGCGGAGCACACATAAAATGAGCAACCCTATTTTCAATGGCTAGTGTGCAAAAGAGCAAGAGAGCTGTTTGTCTGATAGGGAAACTGAAATCACAAGATAGGACATAGCTTTCTCCAAAAAACACAACTATGTTGAAGAGCACCTTGCTCTTCTGTTCACCTACTGTAGTCTACAACTAAAATATTTAACACAGCCATAGAAGAGAGTAGTTTAACTGCAATGAGTTAAAAACACTGAACACAATTACTTCCAAAAACAGAATAAGAAATACCTCATTAAAAATGAATTATTAAGGAATGAAAACACTACAAAGTAATATAAGTTACACCTGATTTTTTTCCCCCAGAAATAGTTGATCTGCCCCTGATCCATTCATACATCATTCATACATAATGGTTCAGATAACTACTGCATGTTCAGGGATAGGAGTTGAGATTAATTTTGTAATTCACAGTCAATGGAAACATGATAAACTTGCAACTTCCAACGAAAGAATCCTCGGGATCCCCTGTTTTCACTACATGCCCTACAAACAAGGGAGATGAGAGCTGTGTTCTGCTAACAGAGCCATGGAGGAAGGGCTTAGTGCAGAGCACGTGTGGAGGAGCATGTGTCCTGGGTGCCATCCAGAACAGCCGACTAAAACGAGCGAGGAATTTGGTCAGTTTGAAGACAGAAAGTCCTTCATGCCTGAAAGAAAGCTCTAGCAACAGCATCAGTGGAAATCTGTTTTCATCAACACACTCATTATGAAGGTTGCCACCTAAGTGAAGAGCTAAGCACACATTAGCTATTCTCTGTTTACAAACTGCATGTGAAAGCCCAAAACATCACAGAATCACAGAATTTCTAGGTTGGAAGAGACCTCAAGATCATCGAGTCCAACCTCTAACCTAACACTAACAGTCCCCACTAAACCATATCCCTAAGCTCTACATCTAAACGTCTTTTAAAGACTTCCAGGGATAGTGACTCCACCACCTCCCTGGGCAGCCTGTTCCAGTGCCTAACAACCCTTTCAGTAAAGAAGTTCTTCCTAACATCTAACCTAAAACTCCCCTGGCGTGACATGTACAGTAATGAACAGGGAACGGGGTCACTGTGAAACCCCAAGTACAAAACCAGCTGCCTGAATCTGCTGCAAACCTGCCGATAGTATAAACACGGTTTGGGTGCAGAATGTAGATACATGACTTTACACAGAAAGAATCACCTGACTTTAATTAGCACAAGAAGCAATCATTCCCCTTCTGAAAATCATTCTGCTTCACTGTGCTCTGGATGTTAAAGGGGATGGAACAAGATGACAGCAAAAATAACTCCTCTGAAAGCCTCATCTGAAAGTCACAGCGAGAGGAGTAAACCATAACTCGCCTCTGTTCTCCTTCTTCACCCTTTCTCGTTGCTTTTTAAAGTCTTTTGCTTCAGAGCTGAGTTCCCTTATTACAGCTAAAGCTGAGCCTACTGTGGCTGCACCTTCACCTTGTTGCTGGCTGAAGCTCCCAGTCTTTCACAGTTTTGGCTGTGTCCCAAGCCACGGTCTGCATCTAACTTATCAAGTCACGTTAGGATTTGCTTAAAAAGATCTTGGCAGGCAGCAAGGCCTGGTGCATTTAGTGCTGGCTGCAGTATTTTGAGAGCTCCTGATAGCTTGCAAAGTTTCTCATATACACAAAGACCCCAAAACCTAGAATTAGTTATAAAAACATAATTTACATACTTTTTTTTTTTGTTTTTCATGGACTAAGTTATGTGCAGGGACATGTGGGATGACTTCAATTCTTATTTGCAAGATGCTGAGAAGAAAAGCTAAAATGCTACCAAGGTCTTATACACACTACAGCTGTGGACGCAGGCCATGCCATTATCTAGATGTTCCCCATTTACCTTCCTTCCTTCCTCATAGAAACTGAAAGAAAAAGCAACACCTGGATTGTTTCCGGAGGCAAGAAGAGCAAACCTTCAGCAGCAGTTGAATATAGGGCCTTCTTCCTTGTAAGAGGGAGAGAGGTAACGATGGCCAGAGCAGAAGAGAGCTAGCTGAGACAGATTTCTGGCCAGGAGCCAGGTATTTGGAGACCTCATGTCAGAAAATTTACTGCCCCTCGCAGCTAGATTTGCATTTGCTTTTTCTAATTCTGCATGCTCTTAAGTTAATTCAGAAACATTCTTCCCGTAGCAAACTTTACCTCCTGCAGTATGCCCTCTGAATATTCTCACTTTTCCCAACTTGCACTCCTTGCCTTATGCAAACTGATATGGGAACGATGCTTATGGATATCTCTTGCAGAACGACTTCCACTGTTTTTCTTTGTGGTCAAAAGTAGGATAACATGAGATGGTCTATGGTCAGCAGAAACTTTTCTGCAATAAATTGAAACTAATAAAATCAGTCCTTGAAGATCTTCTCTGGGTCACTGGCATCAACTGTGGTGCTGTCTACATTCTCTCTGAAGTTAGTTGATTTAAAAAAAAAAAAGGCAATGAAGTCCAGGTGCTTTGATTTTTACATGAAGCTCTCAAGAACCATTTTTGCTAGCAGCTTGTTCTGTTTTCTCTCTCCCCTCTATTTCACATTCCCAACATGTTTTTTTACTTTTGGCTAGTCACGTACAAATTAGGGTTTGGAGACCTCGGAGCCCTTACCTATGTAACACAACCATTTGACTTCAAGGCGAATTTCAGTGTAGCGGGACACCTGCACGTTTCTGAGAGCCAAGGAAGGATTCTCAGCTAACAGGTTGCCTGGTGTTGTGCAAATCACAGATGCCACTAAAATCCTCAATAAAATCCTGACTGACCTGTTGCCCTTGCTGGGAGGAAACTTCTTTCCCTGTTAATTCCCATTACTGTTAGGACAAAAATAGTGGTTGTCTTGAACAAATGGGTAAGTTTTGTAGTAAAATAACCTGATAAAAGAGTGTAAGTTTTCTCCGGAGCACAAAGACTGTAAGTTCACATGGATGAGAGAGTTCTCCTGTTTCCTGATTTCTGCCCAGTTGCACAGAACTGTAAAAATGCCAGTGAAATTTAGAAAGCTACAGTTGTTTTGGCTGGGACAGAGGGAATTTTCTTCATAGCAGACCGTGCGGTGCTGTACTTCAGAACTGTGACCAAAACTGCATTTTAGCTGTTGCAGAGCAGCACTAACACTAAGTCAAGGACTGCTCTGCTCCTCACACTGCCCTGCCAGCCTCATGGCTGGCAGGGGACACAGCCAGCACAGGTGACCTCAATGACCAAAGGGATGTCCCATACCATATGGCATCATCCTCAGCAACAAAAGCTGACGGAAAGAAAGAGGGGGGGGGACACACATTCAGAGTGATGGCGTCTGTCTTTCTAACTAACCATTACACATGATGAGCCCAGCTTTCCTGGAAATGGCTGAACATCTGCCTGCTGATGGGAATTACTGAATGAATCCCTTGTTTTCCTTTGCTTGCACGTGCAGCTTTGCTTTACCTATCAAACTGTCTTTACCTCAATCCATGCATTTTCTCACTTTTGCCCTCCCAATTCTCTCCCCATCTTGCAGCAGGAGAGTGAGTGAGTGGCTGTATAGGGCTGAACTTAACCCACAACAGTCCTTTTTGGTGCCTAATGCAGGGCATAAGTGTTTTGAGATAATGACAGCTTTGAATAGAGTGTGCTAGACTGATTTTGTAGCTGTTCAGGTATTAATAGGCATGCTCCTGTAGTTACCACAAGGCTCACTTGCCCTATTCTATATTATTACTGCTTATCATCTTACTTGGCTCTATCTGTGAACATTTTGATAACAGATTTGGTCGTGCGCCTGGCTGGCAGGTGGCCAGTGCACTGATGCTGTCCATGCCTGTGTTGCAAGGTCAGAACTCCAGTGTGAACTTGAGTCAGTCACAGTACGGTGCAAGCATGGGTAAGTCCACGCTGGAGCAGGCACAACTCTGAAGGGCCCATGGCCCATGGATAAGCTCACACAGGAGCAATGAGAAGGGGAGGAGTTCACTGCAATGTTAAACCCCATAGCCTGGTCCAAAGGGACCAGGGAAGGAGATTGTAATGTATAGGAAGTCCTATAGCAGCAACAACCACTTGAACCAGTAGAGGATGAGCCTCACAAGATGCTGTGCAAGTGCAGTAGTGACCAGACCTAAGTTGGTTTTAGCATCTAATAATTCCACACAACACACCACCTCTCTTTTCCTGAGTGACTACTGTGACAGATAGAACCCAAGTCACGGACTAAATGAACTCAATGGAAATTTTATAGACATTTTACAGATGTGGCCCATAGACCAAGGAATGTTATCTGTGTATATATCAAAGTATGGGAAGGTGGGCAGTTCTTAATGCAGATGTATTAGATACCATGGGACCTGAGCATGCTGTAAGTGATATGGAGGGTGGATATTTTATTGGTTTTGGCTGGGATAGAGTTAATTTTCTCCTTAGTAGCTAATGTGGTGCCATGTTTTGGAGTTGTGACCAAAACAATGCTGAAAATGCACCAATGTTTTCGCTGTTGCTGAGCAGTGCTAACACTAAGTCAAGGGCTCCTGCTTCTCAGGCTTCCCTGTCAATAAGGAGTCTGGGGGTGCACAAGAAACTGAGAGGAGACATAGCCAGGACAGCTGACACCAATAACCAAAGGGACACTGCTTATCATATGATATTATGCTCAGGAGTAGAAAGTCAGGAAAAGGTGGGACTCATAGCATTTGTCTTCCCAAATAACCATTACAAGTGATTTCTAAGAAAGCTCTGTTTTCACCTAAACATTTGCCTGACAAGGAAAAGTAATGATTTAATTCCTAATTTTGCTTTGCTTGTGTGTAGCTTTGTTTTACCTATTAAACTGTCCTTATCTCAACCCACAAACTTTCTCACTTTTGACTTTCCACTTCTTTTCACCACCTTGCAGCAGCAGAATGAGCGAGCAGCTGTGTGGGGCGGAGCTGCCTACCAGGGTTAACCAGCAATAAATGCCTTTATTCACTTGAACATCAGGAAATCATCTCGCAATTGGTAAAAGCACAAACGTCACATTAGGGAAGAAAAAAATATGTATTCAGAAGAGACAGAAATTAAGATAATGACGACTTTGTCACCCATCTCTACAATAGGTGTTTATAATTCCTGCCAGGAAGAGACAAACACTGCTGCTGAGATTCTGGTACTGGCCACCAAGCATGGCATAGGAAAACAAACAGGAAGATACCACCCATCTGCAAAAGGCCAGATTGTGATGCTTTCAGTGACAACACAGCACAACACCATTCCACGCATCATTTTACAGGAACTGATCTGACCAACGAGCAAGTACAGTGCCAATAAACTTTACTAAAACCTAAAGTAACTGGGACAGGAACCAAAAACCCAATTCCAAGGCTTTTGCAGCAGCATGTATTGACAACATACAGCAACACTCTTGAGCTGCTCCAAGGGGTTTCATGAATACTTATATGGATGGAGCACTAATTGCTTTAACGGCCTTCCTTCATTTTTTAAAATCCTATTTTGTCCTGGTTTTTGGAGATATGATTATCTTCAAAGAAGCATTTATATAAAATCAGTTTGCCAACATAGCCTGCAAATCTGTTTTACATTAATCATGCCAGAAAGACAGATATTATAATTTCAAAAGCGTCCTTTAACTATTGTTTATATTTCTCAATTTGAACTAGCCGTGAGAATTTTGTACTCACTGGCACCAGACCATTTGCTTGAACTCCAGTTCCAATCTGACGATGTCCGCAAACCTTTGTACAACTGACAGGCTCAAGGACAGAACAGGATCACCTGGGTTTACATTTGAGTTTTTAGCACTTGCTATACTCTTCATGAATGGCTTTATGGGGACACTTTCTAAAACATACCTTTTCATTCATCTGCAGGGAACTTTGTACTTTCTCTGACAATTAACTAACACTATCATCGCAATTATATTCATTTTAATAGGTTGAATACATCGAATCCTCCCCCCTAACAGTACATTTTACTTTTTTTTTTTTTTTTCCTAAGAACTCATCTGGGGGAGTCTCTGAGGAAAATCATGTCAGCATTCACAACTCACTGAACGTAAGCTTTTGTTTTATTCCAGTTTACCATGGTTCAGCTTCATTTTGCCCCAGATGTATGATCAGTTGAACAAAATCACCTCAAAATGATTTAACTTCTAGCTATAACTTGTGCAGAGTAAGCTCAGTAGATAACTACCGAGGAAGAGTGGAGATGAATGGCACAGTGTGTGTGAGGGGGGGTCACCTTATGCAAAGCAGTGAGCCAGGAGAAAGGCTGAAAGAAGCAAAGAGAAGTAGCTGCTGCTTTCTAACCCGAGAAGAATGGCACTGAGGGCCTGGCTTAGTGATGGGATTTGGTAGGTCAGGTTGACTGTTGCGCTTGGTGATCTCGAAGGTCTTTTCCAACTTAGATGATTCTATTAAAATGAAAACAACAAAAATCATCATATTGAAAAACTGGGACAGGACATTCAGGATGGGAAGATACAGTACTCTGCATCAGACAAAGAGAAAGGAAATGCCCACTGATTTTCTGGGAAACCATGAAACTTCATTCCAGCATACTGCTTCAAAGGCCTCTGTGGAGAGCTTTCCCCTCCATGACAGCATTATTACTGATCTCTTTTTTTTCTACAGGCCTCCTCAGCAGGATGACTCTGCTGAGAATGAGTTACAATACTCAGCATTTCTCAGACTGCTTTCACCCAATTCCTAGCCACCAGAACAACAAAAATATCTAGCGACTCCTACTATAGCTATTTGAATCTGGAGTCAACAGGGAATGCTTGGAGTTTTTAGCTGCTTGGTTTTTATCTCTAAACCTTGCAACCCATACCACTGAATTCATGCAATACGCAGAGCTAATTCAGAGATCTTGTTCTGCTTGCTGTGAGAAGAGACAAAATCGGACTGAAAAAAAAGTGTTGTTTTTACTGAGGTTAAAAAAAAAAGGCTTGAAAGGTAAGAAATAAGGAGAAAAATAGCTATTGTAAATTCTTCCAGGGAGCTCTAGCAAATTCAGTACACATATTTCACTAAGCCATGTAACGAAGAAAAACTAATGAAAGGAAACCCGCTTCTATCCAGTGAAGAACAATGAATTTTAATTAAACTAAGTGAGCAACATTTCTTAATTGTGACCAGCTTTGGAAAAGAACTTTTGAATTGAATTTGTTATTTCATCCATCACCAATGGGTTGTCATACTTGGGAACAAAATGTTAACGAAGGAAGCTAAAGGGCACTGCATCAAGTTTCAAGAACATATAAACAAAAGTTGTGATAACAATTTATATCCCGATTATTTTCTTCAGGCTTAATGCTGAATCCCTTGCTCATTCCTTTTGTATTAAGAATTTCCAGTGAACTCAGATTTGATTGTCATGGTGGTCTATCGGAGATCTCCTTAAGAAATGGCTTCAGATATAAACTCTTTATTATTAAAAAGACCGGGAACTCTTTAACTATCATTAACACTGTTAGGAAGATTCAAAAACCTTCGCATACTCAGGAGGGATGGATGAGAAGGTCACTGTTCTTTATTTTGGAAGCCAAAAGCCCATTCTGTGCTACAGTCTTTAGCAGCTGCAGCTAAATCCACGAAGAGAGCCCACAAAGTGGTCACAGCATGACCTGAACTAAAATTGATGACTACTTCAGATACTACACTAAGTCTGAAACAAGCAGACTTGCCCTTTTTTGCTCTTCCTGTAAGAACAGACACCAAGGAAAGCAACATTATGAATCACACCAGAAGGTCAATCCAAAGCACATGAGAAAGTCCTGGGTATATCTGCATCAGCCAGCACAGTACAGGGCAGAAATTGCACAGGCATTACTAACCTCAGGCAATGAGTACACGGTGTGAACCACAGTTCAATGGTGTGGGACGGGAGTCCAGACTGGCCAAACATTATGAAGGCTGGCCAGGCTTACAACTTAACTTAAAAGTTAGCATCCATAGTGCCTCTGTCAGTTTTTAAAAAGGTATTTAAGTGCTTTTTAAAATTTGACCTACGGTCCTGCTCCAATAAATTTGCAATTACATACAGCTCAGTCCAAAACTATAGCTTTTAACCTGAAATTCAGTGAAGTCTAAATTTCCCTGAAATTCAGTATCTCAGTAGTGATATCCAAACACTCCTAGGCTGATTTCCAAATCCAACCTTCAACACAGTGAAATGAGTATTTGGTTTGTTTAAAGCTACTGTAGGGTAAGGTTTGAGCTCAGTGTGTGTGGGACCCAAACATGACATAAATGGTACAGAATAAGGGGTGGATATTGTCCTATTTTCATCTAGGATGGAGTTAATTTTCCTCCTAGTAGCTGGTATGGTGCTGTGTTTTGGATTTAGGATGAGAATCATGTTGATAACACACTGATGTTTTAATTGTTTCAGAGCAGTGCTTACACTAAGCCAAGGGCTTTCCAGCTCCTTGTGCTGTCCTGCCAGGGAGAAGCCTGGGGGTACACCAGGAGCTGGGAGGGGACACAGCCAGGACAGGTGAATCAGTGACCAAAGGGATGTCCCACACCGTGTGGCATCATGCTGAGCAATTAATATGGGGTGGCTGGCTGGGGAGGAAGGGATGAACACTGCTCAAGGATGGGATGGGAATTGGTCAGTGGGTGGTAAGCATCATTTTGGGTATTGTGCATAATTTGCTTTGTATATATTATTATTATTTTTACTACTACTATTATTATTTCTCTTCCTTTTCTGTCCTATTAAACTGTCTTTATCTCAAGCCCATGAGCTTGTACTTTTTTCCCCCCCATTTCTCTCTCCCATCCTGCTTTTGGGGAGAGAGCGAACGGCTGTGTGGTGCTGAGCTGCCTGCTGGGTTAAACCACAACCAAACCCAATACATGTGTGGAAATTTGGTTGAGGCCCACCTCTGCCTACAATTCAAAACCATAAGCTGAAATGCATGGGGCACAGATAAACCTCACTCTAGGGTATCCAGCAGGACTTCTCCTGTACGTGTACTCCCTCAGAAAGGTATGCCTGCACTACCTGGGGAAATGAGAAAATGAAAAGCGTTTAGAAAGGCCCAACAGTACCACTTGCAAACCAATCAATAGATAAAATGGAACAGTTAACCAGTAAACAGACATGGGAAGAAAAATAAATAGATCAAATTTGTAACCACTGTAATCAAAAAGAAGTGGAAACGACACCCTGTGTGAGGCCTGGCCGCTACAGATGAGTCAAGATACCAAAGACCTGCCAATGCAGCAAGCCAAGTGTGGCTTCAGCCAAGCACAGAGACATCACAGCCTTTTTAATTTTACTATCTGCTCTTCATGGAAGCTCCCAGGGGGATTTCCTACTGGACACAAACTACCTGCAACTCTTGTTCTCTTGTTTTGCATCAGTCACAACTGGAGGCTCTAATTATTCGTGTGTAAATAGTTTCTCTAAATGTTTCATCCTAAACAAACTCTTTGAATAACTCACTGCACTGACGTAGTCAACAAAAATAACTGTAACTAATCTAGTTACAAAACTATAACTAAAATACCACATAGTCGCTTAAAAATAACAATTTTACCAAAGCTGAATTTTCCTTTAAACAATCTCCTGGCAAAGCCTGCAGAACAATTAACTGGTAGATTGTATGCATAAATATGAAGCAAGCACTAAAAATGCTCTATTCAGACTTTGTACAGACTTGCTTGTGAAGTATTTTTGTTTAATTACCACTGGTAACTTGAAGCCTGGGCCTTGAAAGAATCCGAGCTAAACACCTGTGTTTCAGTGACACTGAGCTGCTGCTTATCAATTACAAATATCTTTAGAATAATAAACCATAAACCATAAAAATGTAATTTTTTAGTACTTTTCCATACATTGGTCCAAATAACTTAATATAAAGGGCTTACAATAGAACATGACTGAGATCATATACAAACAGTTTAGGAGAATTTAAATTAAATAATCACATTTTAAAGACGTATCCCCTGCAGCTAAAGAAGTTCCAAGAAACATTCAAATAACCAAATAACATTTTTTTTTACATTTACAAATGAAACATCATATGAGTATTTATTGATTTTTTAAAAATTCAAAAATACATTGTAACAGAACAGAATGTATACGTTCTTCAATGAAAGACAAAACTATGGTTATCATCTGGACCAGAATACAAATACATGCTAACAATTTAAAAATCATTTTGGGTCATTCAGGAAACAAGAAACAAGCTATCTGTTTGTAAATGCAGTAGTTTTCTACTCAGTAAATATGCCTGAGAAAGTTAACCTGTAAAGAAATAGGCTTTTAAACTCTTGAACACAAAGAGCTTTCTAGGCTGAAATGGTGAAGAGACCTGTGATATGCACCTGCCAGGCCACTAAGCCATTTCCCACAGAGATTCTGTTCACTGCTCCACCTCAGCTCAGGGATCCAGCAGTGGCAGAGTTTCACATCAATACCACTCATTCGAGCAAGGTGTTAAAAAGCATGTTAATATGATGTAAAACCACCAGTTACAGACACAGAGACATATATATGTCGTTAATAGAGATTCTCTACCAAACTTCTCATTTTGAATCAGGGCCAAGTAAAAAGTAGTAGTCTAGTTTATGGAGGAAACGGATTATATTTTTGGCTCAAGGTAAGACCCTTTAAAACAATTTCTACATAGGCACCTAGAATTAAAGCATGGGAAAACAAAACAAAACAAAACAAAAAAAAAACAGGACAAACAACTAACATTTTACAGTAACCACATACTGTAGGCAAGAAGGAATCAAAACAATAACATAAATTGTGCATTGGTTCTATGAAAATAAAGTGTTACTAGTAGACACAAGCAATCTGACAAGATGTGAAAGCAAGCAGTGAAAACATCAGGGATTGAATTTCTTTTCATCAGAATTCATCTGCAGGCAGGTAACAAGTGGAACTCGGAAAAAAAAGAATTCCTGTTAGCAGCTTAACTCTACATACTGTGAGGCTTAGACTTTTATTGTTTCTTGTATTAAGAGAAATTCAAACTAGTGAATCAAAAACGACATTTAAAAAATGAAGACCAAAAGAAATCTGAATGTACATTTCAGACAGAAACAATGTTAAGTCAAATCCACAACTGGTGATATCTGACATCCGTAAATGCAATTTAACTATGGTGCTTATGCCAATAGTACATCTGACACCGTTTCTTGAATTCTAGCCACCTCTTTTTAATCACTTTCAACAACTGCATACTTCGTAAATTACATGGGCTTTGATGAAAAAAAAAAATCATTATCAGGCATTCAAAAAATTCTAACAGAAACCTCCCATTTCCATAATTTGGTTACATGATCAAATTACACGTGCTAGAACATAGGAAGCCAACTTTTCAAATGAAATAGTCATAATTCTGAAAAAGAAAACAAACAAACAAAAACAAGCAAACAAACAAAAAAGCCCCTAAGACAGGGAAAAGAATGTTTCTACATAGCTGGTCCTATCCTCTGATGGTGCAACACAGTAAAATGAGCTACTACATATATGCATGTAATTTTGCATGTAATGGTGATCAGGAAGAGGTTTTTCCCCATCTTCCACACTGCAGAAATGACTAGATGCACTACAGAGGTTTTCACCGTCCTATGAAATGTCTGGTATTTGCCATTGCTGGATGCAGGTCATCAGTGCTGCAGGACTAATATGCTGACCCAGCATAGTATATCTTACATTCTCTAGTATTGACTCTGATGTCAAAACATTCTGCATTGCTCTGCCACCAAATCTGCTCTTAGGTTGCACCTTCTGATCGAAACTCTGTTCTACAGGTTACAACTAACAGGTGCAGGATGGAAAGCAGAGGAATGGTTGTAACAGCCCAACCCAGCAGACAAACGCAAAGTTAAGGTGGTGCGTCAGTATCTTCTGGATCAGAGTCTAAAGGAGAAATCAATTTCAGAGCAGCATGTAAAGCTTCTAATGCCAAGAGGTGAAGACTCTCAAAGAAGTGCAAGTAAAAGCATAATTTAAGCCTGTAATTCTTTATGGAGATCAAACAACAGAGAGAAAGATGGCCTGTAGTACAACAGAGCAAAAGATGGCCTGTAGTAAATTGAATGGTAGAAAGGAACAAAAAAGAGGAGGGACATGTATATTGGTGTAGGGTTGTATCTCCTGGACCCAGCAACTGCCTTGGACACCAGCTAATTTTACAAGATAAGTTACATGCATGCCCACATTCAAGAGGGCAAGAGTGAAACCTTGATGGCAATGCTATGACTCTGGCTGAAGAGCTTCATTTTCCCCCTCCCATACCTGAAAGCCTTGAATCCTTGCCAAATACTCCAGCTGTTTTGAAGGCTGCACTGCAGGACAGGGGGAAGCAGGAGATATTCCTTTTAGACCTATGGCTTCGGCAGTTGGGGATGTTCCATTCATGAGAAGTTCCCTGGCAATCGTAGCTGTGCTATTTGTTGTAGGAGATATGCTGAAGAAAGAGCTAGAAGTCTGGCTCATTTCTTTGGACGACAAATAGCTTACAGTGGTACCAGGGGCTGATTTGTTGCGGCTTGCTTCCATCTCTTGGTAAACATCAGGAGAGAGATGGAGTATTCCCTTTGGTGCTGAAAGTAAAAGCAAAGATCATCCTCATTACCCTAGAATAGGCTTGGCACATAGACAATTTTCATTAACATACTTTTCACCAGTAAATAAAGTAAGCACTTAAAAGCAGTATCTTTTTTTTTTCCATAGTAACTGTAAATGCAATCAAATAATTATTTACAAACAAAGCAGATCTCAAGTGCTCTCTTCCTCTCCCACCAGCCTTTTTAAGTAGTTAAAAACTCCTGGACTTGAAAACTGTGGCAAGCACAGAATAGAAAAGATGAACGAGTAACGTTTTGAGATCTACAAACCATAAGGAACAGCCGCTGCTGCAGAATAGCAGCACAACCATTATTTCACTACAATCTTCTGCCTCCTATCTGATACAACAACTTAGGCTGTTTGACAAATAATTTAAGCTAGCCTATGTCAGCACTACAACCATCAGAAGTGCTTCTTTCCTCTCCCACCTACAGCTGTTGTTTGTACTCTCCAGCTGCTCTATCAGATGTGCCAGCATGAGCACCTGAAGAACCATGCAGTGATGCTCATGAGAACGAGCGATTTGGAGGCAAAAGAAGGGCAGGATGGCTTCTTGCAGTAGCTGTAGTGCCTCAAGTGCTGGCTTAAAGCATTTGCTGAATTACAACAGCAGCCTGTGTTTAAGTAATCTCAAATTGCCCTGCAGCCACATGTTACTGAGCTAATGACTCTTACGTGACTGCCTGCTCTTCAATGAAGAGGAATCTTCTTCTATTTTTGCTACTTTTAGCTGCACAAACAGTATCCTATAGACTGCAAATAGTTACTTTTCTTGGACAAAATTCATGCCAAGCAAAGAAAGTGTGTACATGTCGTGATTAATATCAACTGGAATTAAGGTTAAAAAAAAATTGAATATATTCATGTGAATTACAGGAAACATTCAAATACTTCCAGTGACATAAATTAGGAGTAATTTCTCTACATTTCAAAAATGTTAATATATTTTTAGAGAACATCTTGTCCCTAAGCCTCCTTAAAAACAGGAGTGAGTACATACTTAAGCAGCTTTGCTGGTATTCTTACGTATAAAAATGTGCAGAATTAAGGATGAAGTTTGGTAGTTTCATAAATAATACAGCATTTGTTGGAAACATGAGTACCCAGTTTGTTAATATAAGAGGAAAACCTCTCATTGTTATTAAACTCAAAAACGAACTTGAAATGTTTAATTTCATAGTAATAGCACTCTTTGATCTTCTTTTATATACCTGAAAAAAACATCTGTGAGCTCAAGCCATATGGCATTTTATTTTAAGAATGATAAACCTATTTGTTAACTGATTTAGCTATCCCAAGAGAAATCAAGGGATCCAGTGCTTAATTAATTTGCAGTATATACTAAAATCACCTCAGAATGCAGAATAAATTCAAAGAGAATTGATTTTCAGTTTACTACAAAGGATTCCTCTAATCTTAATAGTGCAACTGGCATTCTTGAAAAAAATAATGAAGACTCAAAAGATATTACCAGTGATTAATAACCTCATTTTCAACTACATGGTGAAAATCGAATTTCCTCACTGCTGACTCAGCAAACTACTTACAGGTGAATCTTTTAATCGATTTACTCACACATTTGGCTTTAAATTAACAGTATTTTCAGATAGTTGGAACACCAGCTCACACCCTTCACAAAGTTCGATAAAGCTTCATGAAGGATCTAGTTACAGGGTTAGGCATGACTTGTTTGGAGAGTGGTTATTAATTGTCTGTTAAGACAATGCAAATTAGGGGATAAAGCTCTACTTTATGAATACCTCTGCTTCAGAGAGAAATGTTCCTGCAGTTGCACCTAGCATCACACCTGTACAGAGGCAGACTTGGACATTCCCATTACCACCTGCTTGCTGTCTCTACTGCCTTTGTGGAGCTGTGGAGTCTGGCTGGGCTCTGAGCAGTAATGCCAAAACCATTTTATTCCCTTGTACAAATACTCCAATTCACAACAGTGCTATTGGGAACAATGGAGGACGGGGTCCCTAAAGTGCCTTTCCACCTACAGACAATGCAGGATATAACCTTGTAGATAACAGCAACTGCATAAACACACAGCATTATTCTATAGAACACAATCACCATGTAATAGAGTGATAATATACCCTTCTTCTGAGGCTACAATCTCCTAGGGCTATCACTGCTCACACTTTTAAATAGTCTTATACAAAAGACAAGATGAATGAAAATTAAAATAGATACTATGGATGTTGATGTTAGGTTACAAAAGCAAACAGCAACGATGACACTGAGTGGCAGGTGTTTGGCACATCTTAAGACCTGGCCCACTGTAAATCTGATTTCTGACAAATATTTGAGAATCAGAAATCAAAATTGAACAGAACATGAAACAATATACTTGTTTAAAATAAATATTACTTCCCCCCCAAAAAAAAAACAAGTTTAGAAAAAGATCATGCAACATTAACTTAAAAAAAAGTTTCAAGAAGTTTAAAATGATTTCCAGTACTGCAGATGTCTGTTCCATTGATGTAATATTACTTAAAACAAACATTTTACATGCTTTCTCAGCCATTTCACTGTTTTTACATGATCCACCCAAATATCTAACTGCTGTCTGGAACAATGGTTTGGAATACTTCCAGATTACTAAGCTTTCTAAATGTTAAAATAACTAATATGCAGCATATGATGAATAAAAAGATAGTGAGCACAGTATAGCAAATGCTCCTAAAGTACTGACTTTACTGTAATGCTGATGTTAAATTAATAATAGTACTTCTACACTTATGCAACACCTTTCAGCTAAAGACTTCAAAGTGCTTTATAAGCAATAATTAATTTAAATCATACATTGGCTCTGAGAGTAGATATTATATTACCATCATTGATTATATCTGGAAACAAAGTAATGTAATATTGCAGACATTACATTAATATAGTTGCAAGCTATTAAGATTTTATGTTCAGGGCCTATGTTTCATGGAGCTTCTTAGAAACTTGCTTTAAAAAGCCAATAAAACTTGCTCTCTTTTAAAACTTCTACCAGGCATGTATTTACTGTAATTCATTATCTACTTGTAATGTATTATTGAGGAATTTTTTTTTTAATATCATGCCTTTGTTGTCTGCTTACTTCAGCTCTGTTGAATTCTGTAAGGATGTATATGTAACAGCTTAGTTACTGTGGTAATGATGTTATCAAAAGACAAGAAGTATGACATCAACAGAGAAATTAATGTTAGACCAAAAGAACTCTTCAGAAATTATGATAATTACTCTTCAAACAAGCACTTTAATAGAAACAAACAACAAACAAAAAACAACAAAACACAGGACAAAGAAATACTGCAGTGCAAGAAAGCGTTAGAGCATAGGAGAGGAACATAGAGGAACTATACTACTATTTAGACCAACAACACTGCACCTTCTGCTGGACATAACTTAGAGGTACATTTATGAAACATGTTAAAATAATTTTCATTTATATTATTTAAACCTGTGGGCAAGTGTGTTACAAAAATATGCAGGCTAGTTATGCAATATAATTGTTAACATTTGAAAAACATGTCTTACTCATCCTTGGCAGTAATTATTAGCAGTGTCTTACAATCTCCTATAGTCTCTGAAAATCCCAAGATTTTTTTGCATCCCATAAGATGCAAAATGGCTTATCCTTTATGAGTTTTTCCCTTAGACTGTATATCTGTGATCTGATTCCACTTCTTTTTCTAGTAGGAGCAGAAGAGGCAGCCTTCACAAGATCTGTTGGAGTCATGCTATTTTTACCCCTAATCCCTTCTCCATAGGGTCTCCCAGCCAGAGAGAACAGGAGGACCTTTCTACAAAAGGATCCCCCACCATTTGGACCTTCAGTCCAGAGTTCATGGAAAACAAAGCTAACTCACCAGAGGACTTGGTGCATGGGGAATGGAGTGGGAAGGGAGAACTGCTGACAATATCACTGCAAGAGCCTGAATGTAGTAAGACTCTGCAAAAATGGAATTTGCTGGACACATGAACAGTGTTGAGTTACCCCATAGGAGTGGACAAATTAAGAAAAGTTCTCTGATGACAGTGTTGCCTGCAGACTCATAAGCATAAGTGTCTACACCACCACACTGGCATCCAATTTTCTATTTTCTATTTCTGTCAGGAAGACTAGAAAACATTAAAAGCTAAGATTTTGATTTTGCCATTCAACTCCAAAAGATGACCTACAAAATCAGGTTTCTTTTATTTAATCCACACCTAATTTTCTCTTTTCTACTTGATCAGCACTGTAGGGATACTCTTTGTCTGCCTTTGCTCAATGACTTATTTCAAGGTCACTCAGTGGCTTTTCATGTTTCAAGGACACTTAGTGTACTTGGTCAAAAATGCAGCTTTATTCTTTCTTGCAGAACCACAGCTTTCTCCCTGGGCTCACATCTGTCCTACAGGAAAGCTATACTTGATGGTGTGTCAGAAGCCTGGTCAGCTGCTGTATGGTTTCCCCTGACACTCCTGTAAAGCACATGCTCCTCCATGCACTACAACCAATAGTATGGGGCACAAGCATGAAAGAGTACTTCCATGTCTTGTGTAATGATGCCAAGTGAGTGACGATATAAATCAGTATCTAATATACTCATAAATTAAGTTTAAAACCCTTATATTTGAAATAACCCAACACTGTGTGAAAAAAGATTGTTCACGGAGATCATCAGTATTTTTGGAACTGAATAAAAAACTCAATCAATAACCACCAAACAGCTTTCCTTTAGATTGTGCTACCTTTATTCACATTGAGTAGTCTTCCCATATTGTGCTGCTGAAAATAAACGGCAAAAATTTATAGTAAAGTATTAAGCAAGAAAAGTTAGACCCAAATTAAACCCTCACTTCACTATTATTTAAGTTAAAGTGGACAAAATCTGAAGAGGCATGGAGGACTTCCACATGCAACAATTCCTCCAAAGAACTGGCAGGTTCTCAACTTATCTTAGAATATGGTCCATTACAAATACACTGAGAG